GATGGCTACCAGTGTAGGATTCAAAATGGCCACCAGTGTAGGGTTCAAATTGGCCACCAGTGTAGGGTTCAAAATGGCCACCAGTGTAGGGTTCAAAATGGCCACCAGTGTAGGGCTCAAAATGGCCACCAGTGTAGGGTTCAAAATGGCCACCAGTGTGGGGTTCAAAATGGCTTCCAGTGTAGGGTTCAAAATGGCTTCCAGTGTAGGGTTCAAAATGGCTTCTAGTGTAGGGTTCAAAATGGCTTCCAGTGTAGGGTTCAAAATGGCTTCCAGTGTACGGTTCAAAATGGCTTCCGGGGAAGGGTTCAAAATGGCCATCAGTGTAGGGTTCAAAATGGCCATTTTTGTGTGCAATGTAGTTTTGCAACAATATGTTTTTTTCATCTGGGTTTTGTGAACAACAGTATAAAATGTCAAAAAAATCCAATGTTTTTTAATGTAGCCATTTGGTTGGTTTTGACCACTTAGTCATATTACTTCAGTTATATTCAGTGTGCTCATGTGAAATACATACGCAGAAATCTGACAGGTTTCATGAAAGTCTTACATAAACTAGCTTGTCGAATAGTCCATATCATGCATTTATCTTTCTGCTTAGATGTCCAATGTAAATGAACTCAGAAGTTATTCAATGGCAGTCACTGGGGTGAGTATTTACAAAGCTGGATCTCCCACTGTCACCAGATAACTAACAGTTTGAATAATAGGTGATATTCTGTTCACTGCAAGACAACGCTTTATGCATGATATCGATTGTAAAAACAGGATAAATAAAAGTCATGGCATCAAAAATGTGTGTGGGATTTGCGTTTACTGAGACAATATTTGAAGTTTATCAAAGGTACCACCTGTATGACTTTGTGTCAATTTGGACCCATTGTCATACAGTTGGCGTATATTTGTTAACTTTGGGTGACAACTAATGCGACTTTTTGCATTTAGAGTAATCAACGTCAAAAATGTTCATATTTATTATCGATTACATTTCCTTTGCACATTTAGTTAAAAATACTAATGTTGTCATTATCAGATTGTTGTACTGCACTGATTTTTGCTGTAATGCTAATCCTACAACAGCTGCATTTTCCACCTGTTTGATAATGACCAATAGATTGATATGCTGATTTTTATTTTATTTTCAGTTTTTCTCTAATATGATATGTTATCCATTTGCACTGGTGGGCAATATAATGGCTATTAACAATTGTGGGTAAGTATTCAGTAGACATTAGGAGTGTATGTAGGTATTTTTCTAATTAAAAGCCTTGAATATTTTAAGTAAAATGGGCTATGGACCAGACTCAGTGCTCGTCAACAGTGTGCTTTCCTGCAAGACTGGTTTTGAGGGCAATCCCGAGTTAGCTTGTTGACTGCTGGGGAGCTAAAAAATTGTATAGGTGAGTCACACAAAAAATGTTGTAGCCCCTCATTCCCGTCATATTTTCTTTATAAAGCAGGGTTTTTTCTAAAAAAAAATGAGCAAGCGACACACACACAGGCCAGGGAGTGGAGCGACTAAGCTAGGGGGAATAGGTGTGGAAGGGCGGATCAACCTGGAAACGCCATATCGGAAGGTTTCTATGCCGTTTTAACGGTGTATCTATCGCCACCGAAATATTTTGGAGTAATTTCAGTGTATTCGGTGTACAGACACATTGTCATCTGGCATTGTTGGAAAGTTTTCATGGAGAAAAATATATTTGAGGCAATTCGATAAAAGAGCGCCAGCCGAGAGTATCAGGGCGCTGCACCACTGTTCCCCGGTTTAAAAAAAAAATGATAAAATGTGGATTTCATTTTCACTTATTCAAAATGGCTACCAGTGTAGGGTTCAAAATGGCCGCCAGTGTAGGGTTCAAAATGGCCACCAGTGTAGGGTTCAAAATGGCCACCAGTGTAGGGTTCAAAATGGCCACCAGTGTAGGGTTTAAAATGGCACAAGTGTAGGGTTCAAAATGGCCACCAGTGTAGGGTTCAAAATGGCCACCAGTGGAAGGTTCAAAATGGCCACCAGTGGAGGGTTCAAAATGGCTACCAGTGTAGGGTTCAATATGGCTACCAAATTTCATAACCATAGTAAGATGTTTTTCAAGCTGACTATATCAATATATGATTTTATGTTGTGTCATTAATGCTTCAGTTAATTAGCACAACTAGTTGCATCACAACTAATTGTATCACAGCAAACCTGTAACATGGCATATCGGCTTGGAGGGCACACTGCTTGTCAAGTATGCTGTTGGATACATTTGTACATTTGCTGCTAGAGTGTATATTTAACTTGCCTATATGTAGGAATCTCCCGAACATAAATAATTAAGAAGGAAAAAAACTGAATAGTTGTACCGGGAAACATCTCTTGCATGCATCACAGATTTTTTGATGGTATCGGATTGATGAATGTCCTACTATACACACATCTGCTTTATTATTTCTTCAGCCTTGCTGCTGGTGAGCCACCTAAGACTTTGGTATATGCTGACTGGAGAGAATGTTGGAGGTGGCTGAGTAAAGAGGTGAGTCAGTCATGCGTTAAATACACCATTTATTTTATCTGGCATTTAATTTCACTATTTTGAAGTATTGAGGAATTATACAAAGTTTTAATTTCAAAAACATTGAGTTCCATTGTTAATCTACATGTTCACATGGATTTATATTAGGGAACTTTACTTATCAACAAAACTAAAAACCAGTGAATAATGCGTTCAAATTAAATGATACTGTATTTTTAGCTCTGCTTTCGACTTTGTCAAGCGAAGCTTATCATATGAGTGATTGTCTGTCTTTGTTCGTGTCAACTTTTTACTGTTTACTGTTTCAATGAATGGATGGAATGTACATATAGATGTTGTACATACATGTATGTCCACTCCCGTGTATAAGCCTGGGGAGGAGAATGTAAATTACGGGTTATCAGATAGCTTCTGGGTTCAATATAAAATAATGAGCATCTTTCTTTGTTTTTCAGGGTCAATTGAAGCGTGGTTCAAGTTTATTCTGGAGACCTTACCGATCACCAGCACAGTACTACTAAAATAACAACAAGATGAAATAACTTTTTTTTTGTAAATAACTAGATCTAGCTCTTTGTAGATTACATAATTTAACACTTCATATTTTTGAGGTCTGAATTCTACTCAATGGTCATTCAATGTCATCAGGTATAGCAAAATAGGGTAAGATAGTGAAGCGCCCTCTATAGTTATTAGAACGCCCTCTTGTGGCCAAGATCTTTTTTTTTCAAATTGACTAATCATGCAGAAAATAAAGTTACAAAAATAACCATTTTATTTGAATTGCCCGGTGTCTTATTAAATTGTCTTTATTTTTTTTTATGGTCCACAAAAGATGTTGGGATGCTTTGAATGCAGAGATGTCTGAGGTAATTATTTAAAACTGAATAGTGTGTACACCAGTCTGCTTGTTTCAGTAGTCTCCCAATTCTGCAAAAGCCATGTGAATGTTTTTAGTCTGAACAGTCAGCTGGCTTTTGAGAAAGTGTACAGTTTTCTTTGCTCGGGAGTATGTTGCTAGTGTTTATTACTGAATCAATGTCACTGACTACTTGACCATACCAACCCATCCTGTCTCAGTAACACTTAAGCTTTTCACCGGCAGACTTTCTCGCCACAATTTTTCTGCACTTTTTTTTATATTCTTCACTACTTTTGGAAATAAACCCTAATTTTGTTGCCAACAGACAAAATTTAAGTCAATTTTCAGTTTTTACTCCAAAAATGTGGCTATTTGCAGACTATAAACAGGACTATTTTGTGAATTTGTGACAAAAATAGAAAACTGATGGTGAAAAGGTTAACAATAACCCACAAACAAACCTAGATTTCTGGACTCGCTATCATATGTGCAACTCTGTCTGTTCAACATATACATGAATGTAGAATATTACATGTTTCTTGTCCAAAACGTATTGATTGCTGAGTATTCTTGGAACATGTAACGAAGTGTTGCACTGTCTCATCTACATTGAAATGTCTGTAAAATAAACCTTGTTGCATATGATATAAAATTAAAATATTCCATGATTCCATCATCACAACAACACATGTGTACTTTTTTGAGACTTGTGTCTTTTAAAGTTATCCAATCACAAAACCAATAAAATATAACAATGATCACTGAACCTTATTAAAATTCCAATGGATAAAACCTGGAATACCAATATATAAAAAAGCGATATCATTTAATTACAGAAAACACCACTTTTTATATCATTTTCTAAACCTTTATGGGAAAAATTTGTTGTAAGTTTTCTATATTTTCCACACCTGAATGTCGTAATTCACTTTTGAGTTGAATTCATAATGTTCTATGCATTCAGTAATTTAAAGCATACGTGAATATGTACCATAATTTGCATATAAATATTTCACACAAGTCTAAAGATCCCAGTAAAGCTACAAGAATTATTTCCGACAACTCACTAGACAGCTGATTTTGTCTTTAAATGCTATTAGAATTATTGATTGCTCAAATTCGTTTTGTCTCAAATTCTGTTCATTTTGAAGGGAATAATTTTTTTTTATTCACTTTTTATTAAATTATTTAGCTTTATGGGTAGCTTTCTAATTCCACCAGACGTCTGTCATGAACGAAATTTGGTTTGTGTTACAATTGAAATGGCCGACTGGCAGCAATACTTTTTATACTTGATGTGTTACGTTAAACTTATATTACGACACTCTGAATAGAATGCATGACTAGTTTTAAAATGTACATCAAAGTCAATATAATTTGTATAAGTTATAAACATTAGATCTTGCTGTGACTGTACATGTCACATGAGATCATTGTAAACATAGTGTGGTGCCTTGAATACGATAGTCAGTGATCTGTTATCTCATATGTGGGTGTCACACAATCTATTCAACACATGTCAAATCACTGCACTGAATTAGAATGGGTTTTATGATGACTTAGTAAAGATTAAAGCGTGGTGGTCGTCGCACAGGGCGTGTTCTAATTTCATCTAATTAAACCATGTATTTTACATGCATTGTATACATTGCTATGAGTCCCATATCGAATAGAATGCGGCATGACGTCTGCCGCCCTTTAATCAAGTTGTGGTAAAACTCAAGTGAGAACACATCGCTTACATGTGCACATGTTCTATAAATTGAATGTTACATTACACAGTCATGTGACTAATAAGGTGGGGGGAAATACTAACAGACATAATTATTTTGGTTTTTATGGCAGATTTTCTCCTAAAAGGTTTAATTAAGACTATTGGGACAATATTCAATTTGGTTGTGTTTACCAAGATTCACATTTCTTGTTGTTAATCAAGAATACAATGTCGGTATAATACCTCCATGAGAATACATACGCAAGAAATTATTGACAATGTTAAAGAAACATCTGTTTAATAAAAGTATTTTTTACTCAAGTATGAAAATAAAATTATTGATGCATCTGGAGTTGACTTGGCTTATGTTTGAATGATTTATGTTATAACTTATCGGTGATATTGATTGACATTTCGAGTATAGTGATCAGACTAGTTTTTCGCTAAGTTTATTTCAGAGTATGCATAAACATAACATACACAGGTCATGTGACATGTACTTAATAGCACCATATACTTAAGCTGTATGGCTTGCTTTAAAATGAATAAATGATGATTATGTATGCTCGTAATTTAAAGCGAGAGTCGTCACCTACGCATGCGTCGGGTGGCCATAGCGTGTCATTGTTTACAAACAAGCATCTACCCATGAGCCATTGTGTTCTTAGCGTATGTTGTTATCGCTTGACACTCAATTCCCGCGTGTATACAGGTGACACCCTCTCGCTTTAAATTCAAAGTTGCTACCATTGTTACATCTGATATTCATGGTCATGACTTTGATATACACTGTGTATTAGAAACGCCTTGTGATAGTGTTGCAGGGACATGCATTATGGGTATGCAACCTTTGTTATAATCCATTACCCAATGCACACCGTCAAATGACTGACAATGAAGCTATGTCTTGTTGCGTCAACTAAATATGGATGTCAGGGTGTAGCTACTCGTAATGAGCCAACTTTGTGGTTAGAATATAATCAGAATATAATCAGAATAATGACATTTTGTCATAACTGAATGGCCCAGTCTAATCTATTGATAAGAGTGAAACTAAAAATTGCAATGGTAACAGCTTTTAATTTAATACTGTTAAATATTTTAGCAGAAATTACATTTTGCTGAAGAGACTGGCTGCTTTGTGATTATGTTTATTACAGTAATAGCCAAAAAATCCAAATGAAAGTAAAGTATTTTACAGAATAGAAAACGTGTGGCCGGTTTAAATAGCTGTGGAAAATGGGTCATGTGGCCAAAAGTGTTTTCTATCCCAAAACCTCTCCTTCCATTGGTCTCCAATGTAAAAGTAAATCCCTGAATAACTCCTGGACGGCGAGATCAGTGACTGTTCCTGTAAATAGCGCCCCCATCTATGACGCGCTCCTGTGAACTGAAACTACGATAAAAACAAAGGTAATGCTGCCGT